GAGTTCCACCAGTGTAATGGGGAAATCTAGTCTGACCCAACTGGAGAGTTCAACTAGTAGAATGATTAAATCGGGTTTGAGAGGTGAGCAATACAATTATCTGTAGAGCTAGAGAAATCCCCACAATATTCTGGATGTGTAGAATAATTATCACAGTGGAATTGGAATTTTCAATAAGAACTAATTTTCTGTTTTTCCCCCCATTACTTTGCAAAGGAATACCACCCAAAATTGAAGCTCTTCCAAACGACATCTCCATTGAGGAAGGAAAGGTTCTCACTGTGTCCTGTGCCTTCTCTGGGGAACCTGCTCCCGAAATAAGATGGTCCTGTAAAGGCAGAGACATTTCCAGTCAGGCTGGTAGATTCCATGTTGAAACCAGTGAAGATTTAACCACGCTTATCATCATGGATGTTCAAAAGAATGACGGGGGACTTTACACACTGGATTTAGAAAATGAGTTTGGCACCGACTCTGCCACTGTGAATATTAATATTCGATCAATTTAGAAGGCTAAACCTATTTTATTTACACTTGACTTTTGGCAAGTGGCTCATATGAACTGAAATAATGGATCTGTAAATATATATTTTTAAAAGATATTTTTATACCTACCTGAACCAGACAAAGTCCAAGGAAATACACTGTGACTTATAGTCATTAATGTCTGACTTTAAAACAATTTTTAAATTGACATGTACATACTGTATATAGCCGAAGATAACGGTTATGAAGTTTTGTACCATTTATTTTATGACATGTTAAAATGTAACTTTTGGAACAGTTGGTAGGAGAAAGTTTCTTAGGGAACGAATACCCTGCTCAACATTTAACTAATATTTGTGCCTCAACAAATGTTGATGTCTAAGAATGCCTCAACAGGTAGAGAGGCTCCCTGTTGAAGACTTATTTACCTACACCTAAGAGATGATGCTGTGCACGTCTTCTCTAAACGTGCACGAATTTTAATTTGAATCGGAGACATAAGGCATTGGTGAGGTTTGCATATACCCTCCTGTAAGCCACACTTTAACGTCTTATGTGTTGTCTGATCAATGGCAAACTATCTTTTGTTCGTGACTCACAATACTTGGAACAAAGTGCAACGGCCAGCATTTTGTTCGCCACCTGTTGATGTGCTGCTTCTGACACAATGACTGCCCGAATATCTTTATTTCAAAAGTAACATCACCTGGCCATCCCTCAATTCACGAAGTTATTCGGGTGCTCAAGTGCAGAAGCAGTACTAACTCTTGGAGGTTCCTAGAATGCAGTGATTGTGTGGTAGCATTAGGGTTTTGCTAGATACTGTCAACTCCGGGCAACTAAGCTTTGAACTGCAGTTGAAGAAAAGTTAAAACTGCTGTTAGAACATCACATTTTGCCCTGAACTTACAAATTATGTAGGTTAGTTTCTGTAGTAGTAAACTGTACCATTAGCTGTTTTGTTGAACCTCCTTGAGATAGTATTGTTCATTTGAAATAAAGCATGCTACCTGCACTTCACCCTGTTTGTCTTCTCGTTATTTGATGTCTTCTTTCCATCTCCATCCTCACTCTCAGTCTTTCTGTATACTTCTTCTACCTTCTCTATTCGAGCCAAGAACCAAAACAAAAACAAAAACACCAATATATCATGATAGCATGTGTTGCTATGATAAATTTAGAACTCCCATTTTTCATAGGAAAAGATTGACATGATATGTGGAGCAAGGTGGTCCAGCTAACCAGAAGGCAGAGCTCTGCTACCTTTGAAGCTATAAACGATGAGGGAGAATGCTGGTCCTCTTTTTCACTGAACACCCTATATGAAGTCTAATTGATAAGCACATTGAAAATAGAAGTAGAAATAGCTGTAGTACCGTACAGAAAAGAAGGCCTGCAAGTCACCAGCATGTTTGAGGTAATTATTTAATACTGCATTTTTTTTTTTTAAAAATGCAACTACTGTGTGTGATTTGCAGAAAGAACTCACACATTGTGTTATAGCATGGAATGATTTAATTCCGAGCAGAGTTACTGAAACCATCTGAGACCTATATGGTGAAAGATAAATCCGTTGACCTGCCTCTCCCATTTTAAAAGGATTTCCCCCCAAAAAGGGACTGAAGACTGTGGCATTTTAAAGACTAATAAATTTCTTTCAGTGTCAGCTTTTGTGAATCAAATGCCACCTGTTTAGACCCTGTGTGCCTACATGTCATACACTGTTTGTCCCCCTCCACCATCCAATTAATTTTGCCAACAAGCGGGGAAAGACTAATGTGGCAACTTCTTTGGGAAGTGCCTTTTGAAAAGAGAATTAGTGTCAAAGCAGTTCTGTGACAGAGAAAAGCTTAGCAAATAATTACTGTCACCCACTGTTCTGATCTATACCTTGTGAACAATTACTTGGATTAAGGTTGCCAGCTTCCCACTGCCTGAGATTTCAGGGCCAAAAACTGATGGAGGAAAAAGCTTTGTGATGTCATGGGGTGGGTCCTTGTGTAATAAAGGCAGAATTATGTGTGTAAACTACCTTCTGAACCAGTGGCTCCCAACCTTTTTTCACCAGATGTTCTTGGACTTCAACTCCCAAAATGTTTTAGTCCAAGAACATCAGGAGACCCAAGATTGGGAACCACATGTCTAAACAAATATGTGCACTACACTTCTGTAAAAACAAAACAAAAAAAAATCTTGAAGCTGAGTTAATGCACCCTGGTGCATGTTAGGAGTGGGAAGAAGGTGGGTGCTCTGGTGTTAAACGTCACCACACATGAAAATAAACAAACCACTTTATCCTCCTCCAGTGCCACTTGCCTTGGCATTTGTCACCTTGCCTCGAGGCCAAGAAAAGGATAGCAAGTCTCCAAGGCTTTTGTTTCTGCCCTGAAACCTGGCCACACTAATTCAGATGGCTTGAACAAGCCGTGAAGTTAAGGCCTGGAGCAGAAAATGTGTGGGACGGTAGCAAAACAAAACAAAATTTGCCTTGTTCTATATGGAATAGAATCTGTTCTTTGTGGGACTGCATGCTTCCTAATGCAGAGCTGGGCTTGTGGGTTTCTAGACATGGTTGGATTAATTCCCATAATTCTTCACTACCAGCTATGTCAGGGACAGCTCCTCTGAATCAAATATTTGGAAAGACACTGGTGCCTGCCTCTGCCCTAAAGAACATGTCCGGTCGGAGCTGATCTTACTTCCAGCTTTGCGGATTAAGACACAAGTGGTGTCAACAATTTGAAGGAAATGCAGTTGCTGATATGTCTTCTGAATCAAGCTAACCACAGTTAACTATGAACCACTATTTTCCAAACACCATTACTGCAACTGCTTTTAAAGACCACTACTATAATGGCAAGAGGAGAAGGGGACGACAGAGAATGAGAGGGTTGGACAGTGTCATCAAAGCAACCAACATGACTCTGACCCAACTCCGGGAGGCAGTGGAAGACAGAAGGGCCTGGTGCGCTCTGGTCCATGGGGTCACGAAGAGTCGGACACGACTAAACAACAACTATAATATTTTTAATTAGATGAGGCTTCCAGGAGAAATGCTTTTTTGGCCAAGACCAGATAGTGGGAGAGTATATCTCAACAATACGTAAACACCTCTGGTTACTAGGCTATTCTGAGCACACCTTTACCTTTTAAGTCCTGTGTGGCTTCAGTTCAAGGTATCAAAAGGAAAGCCAACCTTAGTTTCACCTCTGCTATTGCATGGCCATAATAGCAGAAGATCCTTCTCCAGGTACAACTTATAACAGGAAGTACGGGATGGCTGCTGATGGTGAAACAGAATCCTCTTGGGTATTGCATCCTGTGTGCCCCACCAGACAGACAGACACACACACACACAGGGGACGGGGAGAGAAGTGCCTGAAAAGGTTCCCCCACCATCGGGTCCATAGACACACTGGTTGTCAAACTGTCTTTATTAACGCAAACAAGCATCCCAAATCAGTAAGACTGAGAGCTCAGCTTCATCCCAACCCTGGCATCACTCCCAACCCCAGGCAGTGGTTTCATGCACTCATCACCCAGTATGTCCATCCTTCTTTCCTGGGGCATGTTACATACAGCACTGATGTTACCTGTCTGTCATGGGTTTGGAGGGAAAGTTCCATCCTATGGGGAGTGGAAGGCGGGACATCAGGAGGAGGGGCTGTACTGTATATATATGTGAAGCCTGTGTGGAGAAGTTCAGCAGACGCTGAGAAGGAGACGAAGCAGCAGCTGGGAAGAAGAAGCTGGTGTGGGAGTCTGTGTGTCAGACAGGGTACTACTGTGTGTCAGTACCAACCTGATAGGTTCAGGTGTCTGTTGGTTAGCCAGACCTGATAGGTTCAGGGTCTGTGCTTCAAGTTAAGTGTTCTGGGTGAACCAAACTGTATGCATGTATGAATGAGACCAAGCCACGTTACTATATCTTATTCACCTGATCATTTTATTTTTCCCTGTGTGTGATTTAAATAAACCTTATTCTTTTATTTGTTGAAAATCCATCCCTGGTCTGTGTGACTTCTTATAGGGAATGGTTGGTGGCAGCTTAGTTAACGTGTGGCAGATCCCAGTAGGTCTGGGTTTGTCACAGGGCATAGTTCCACTAACCAGTTCCAGCGCCACAGCACCTCCCAGGGAGGATCAATAGTTCCAGAAAGAGGACCATTTCTGGTGCGGGAGGCCTCCTCTAGTGCCTGAGCAAGGTGCAAGAGGTTTCACTGTTGATGGTGGCATCACCAGCATCTTTGCTGGGGGGTGGCGGCATGGGTCCAGATGATGGAGTACCCTCGGGTCATCATAACTGATGGTCCAGTGACTCCAGTAAGGCAAAGGTAGGTGGGCCACCTTCATGTTCCCCAGGCCAGGCTCATCCACTTACCAGTCCAAACCTTTGGGCCTGCCTCTGCCAGCACCCTGAACGCTGGTGGCAGCTCTGCCCATGACTTCCTGCCATCTTCCCAAATATAAGATTTTTATATGGCTTTTTAAAAGATTTGACCAGAAACAAGTTGTGCATGCCTGGGTGAAAAAACTGTATTTATTGAACACTTATGTACCTTTAAAAAAATTCACATTTTTTTTAAAAAGTGCTCCACAGCCAAGACATTATAGACCAAGTTTATCCCAAAGTGAGTTGAAAAACGAAATACATTTCAAAACACAATCAACTCTGGGCACACTTCATCAGAAACATCGATCCAAACCTTGTGAAATTTAAACTTTTTTTTTGTACTTGTAAAAAGAAGGGGGAAAAACCGGAGCCTGTGCAAGAGAGGTTTCTGATGAATTGATCCCAGAACGCACAATGCGGAACAGCAAAGCGACAGGGTTCAGTCTCTGGTTATAGCTCAGTCCTCAGCTCTGTGAGAGGCGAGTTCATAATTGATGCTGGAGTTCATAGAGAGGAGAATATCGCTGTAGATACATGGTACTCTGTAGTTAAAGAACTCACATAACAGGAACAGCCATTCTCCCCCTTTGGTATAAATATTCATAAATAAATATACAGCTGCAAATGTTAGAACAGCAGCTCAACAGCATATTTTAGAAATCAGCACTAAAATAACACTTTGGTAAAATAGTAATAATAATAATAATAATAATAATAATCAAGGACAGTTTGGTTGTACGTGAAAAGGAAGAACACGATCCACCCAAAGGGCACCAATCTTAATCCAAACTTATTAAAACAAGAAAAAGTTAAGTACAGTATATTGTTCCAGTGAAATCAATCAGAACTGCAGGTGCTTACCTTTGGATGGATGGTGCCAGAGATGTTAAAACAACAACAGGGCTACAATGCATTTAATGATGCAATACAACCCAAGAAGAACTAAGCACACCTTTGCATCCCTTCCCCCACTCCACGCTTGCTTCAACAATGGATGCATTTTGTGGCGCAAAAAAGGAAGAAATATATTTCAAATGGATGAAATTCCTTTTCAATGCCTCTTGAGCAGATGATGCATATGTCTTTTATTTAGAAAAATACCAGACATCTATTAATTCCATTGACTGCTTGGGTTTTGAGCACAACCCAGTGAAAACTGGTGTTCCGAGATCCATTAAAAAAAAGATATACAACACAAGATGATTTAAGCATCTCAGAACAAGACCTAGCTAAGACTAAGCATTATAAAATTCCACCGATATTACTGTATAAAAATCTTTCTCATTAAAACCGATGGAACTTAAAAGGCGCTTAATTTTGACCGGAATGTTCCCTCAGCAGAATGTAAGGTTCCACCACTTGGAAAATGAGGAAAAATACTAAATTTCTTGTAAGCTAATACTGTCTCAGTTTTAACGCAAGAAAAACCTCCACTGAAACAAAAAGTGCCATGAAAACCAATGACTGCATGGGAGTAGAGGCAAACTGGACCCAAGTGGTGCTTGACACCGCAACTAGGTGATCACATAAGCTGTCCGGACGATGGCACACGTTTTCCCAATCCCAAATTTGAAATCTTTTTCTCAAGGTTTAAAACATTCAATCTAAGGTTTCTGACTGTCCTGCTTTGAGACGCAGTTTTACAAAGGTACATTAAAGGTCTATTAAAAATGCACAAACTGAAGTGTTTTTCTTTTTAGGAAAATACTCTGGCAAATCAACTATAAAAAGATAAAATACACTTAAAAGTTAGGTTTGCTCTTTTGTTTTGTTTCATTTTTACATTATTCTATAAAGTGCAGAGAAATCCTTCAGATAGGAACTAACCACTCCCCCTACAACAACAGAGTCACAGCAGCTTTTGCATAGCATGAACCCCGAGAAAGCCGATTCCTCTCGTTTCTTCACAAAGTTGGTGGAAGAAGCTCCTCAGGTTCCGATTGTTTCTTAGACACCGATACTGTCGCTTCGGGAATGGATGACAGCACCAAATCTCCATTGACAGTACTTCTGGAACAGAACACGAGTCCTGACAAGAGAGTCATCAGGACAGGTTAATTTAAAAGTAACCTCAGAAAAAAGCCTGTCCCTTCAGCTGCCTACAGCTCCCAAGGGGTACTAACCGTCCCATCAGACAAGGGCTGTATGTGCCGTGGAAGAGTAAGAAAAGTAACTCTGCACCGCTTAGTTATTTCCTTCCATCTTTCTCATTAGGCCTGCGCTGGGTATGTGTAGACCAGTGTTTCCCAACCTGGGGAGAAGGGCGTGACCTCTAAGGGGTTTTCTGAGGGGTTGTGGGTCACCTTATATGTGCATCCCATCAGACAAGGGCTGAGGGGTTGTGGGTCACCTTATATGTGCTAAAGCCCTTGTTTAATCATGTCTTCCTTGATCTTTCAAAGTGGGATATTAAAGTTAGCGTGCATGTGTAATGCATGAGAAACAGGCCCTTTGGGAGAAGAAATTGTGTTGTAAGCAGCCCAGAGTGGTAGAATATACCAGATGGGCAGGATATAAATCGAATAAATAAATAGAATAAATAAGAAGGAAGCCTCTGCTTTCTGAACAGGGATGACTTTACCCCATTAAAATTGCCTTTTTCTGTATATGTGGCAGGAGGGTTGGAGGTGCCTTAGCTATTATAAAAGGGGGTCATGACTTGAAAAAGATTGGGGACCATGGGTATAGAGGCAGGGAACCCCTGCCCTCCCCCCACTTGCTTCAGATTTCAGCTTCCCAAAGCCCCCGTCAGTAGGGCTAACAGTAAGAGACTGTGGGGACGATTATTTCAAAAGCACCTGCAGAACCACAGATTCCCTCTCAACCCCTGAAATAGCCCAACCTTATTTTATTTTATTCAATTATTTACTTAAAATATTTATATGCTGCCTTTCTCCTAAGGATCCGAGGCAGCTTACAGTATTAAAAGAAACAAAGTTATAAGCTAAACAATAAAGCATTTAACAATTATCATATTAAAATTAATCAATAAAAACAATATTAAAAGACTGAGTAGAACAAGCGAATAAAAGAGTCCCTTTTTAAAAAATCCCCTTGGTCAACCAGTCTTCCAAAGGAAAGCCTGTCTGAAGAGAACGCCCTTCATCTTGTTGTGGAAGGAGGACAAAGATGGGGCCAGCCTGGCCTCCCATGGGAGGGAGTTCCAGAGTCTGGGAGCATCGACATGCTCTGAATGGCATCAGCTCTCCAGAGTCTTGGGGAAGAGGTCATTCTCATCATTGGCCATGCCGTCTTCTAACCAGTGGAGATGTTAGGGCAAGAACCCAGGACCTCCGACAGGCAAATCAGTTTGGGCCCCTCTTGCTGATTTGGCGATACAGGGTGAACCAGCCAGACACCGAAAAGCCCATCCATACTTCTACTGCAAGATTTATTAAGTCGAGCAACAGAACAACTACTTGTGCTCTGAGCTCTGCAAGGAGAAACACATCCTACAGATCGTATTTTCCCAATGTAAGAAAAAAAATCCACATCTCATTCTTTGCCCTTCTAGGGAGCCTTTGCACTTCAAATTCTAGGACCCCTGGCCATTGGATACATTTCCTGGGGTTTCTGGGGATGGAAGTCCAAAACATCTGGAAAGTAAAAGATTAAGAACCACTCCTCTAGGGAAAACCCTGTTAAGAAGACCAGTTCAGTACAAGCACCTTCCTCTGGAGGAAGAGCAAAGGTGTGAAAGCCACATAATTTGGACAGATGAATATGTGTTTGCTGAGAGAGAAGTGCATCAGCAGCTCTTCCAAAGCAGAACCAGTGGACGGGAAGACTGTGTTTAACCCCTCTTATGCTCCCAGATTCTCCTCAGGAACTGCTCCTCTTCTTGGCCATTTCTACTCCTAGTAAGGCTTAGAGGTGATCTCAAGAAAGAGACATGGGGGAGACAAGCTATTTCCTCATGCAAATGACAAAGCAAATAATGCACCTGCATCATCCATTTCAAGCAGCACGCCTGTGCTTAAATGGTCTGCTTTCCTGACAAGAAACACAGGAGGAGGAGTGCTATCATTCGCTGAGGAACCTGTTCCTCAGTCTGGCCTGGTCTACAGAGTCTTTGGTACACATAATGTCCAACTAAGAAGACCTGACTTTTAGGGACGTGGTGGCGCTGCGGGGAGGAGGGCCATCATTCGCTGAGGAACCTGTTCCTCCAGTCTGGCCTGGTCTACGGAGTCTTTGGTACACATAACGTCCAACTAAGAAGACTTGACTTTTAGGGACGTGGTGGCGCTGCGGGTTAAACCGCAGAAGCCTCTGTGCTGCAAGGTCAGAAGACCAGCCATCGTAAGATCGAATCCACGCGACGGAGTGAGCTCCCGTCGCTTGTCCCAGCTCCTGCCAACCTAACAATTCGAAAGCATGCAAATGCAAGTAAATAAATAAATAGGTACTACCTCGGTGGAAAGGTAACGGCACTGTGTCTAGTCACGCTGGCCACATGACCACAGAAACTGTCTTCCGACAAACGCTGGCTCTACGGCCTGGAAACGGGGATGAGCACCACCCCCTAGTGTCGGACACGACTGTACTAAATGTCAAGGGGAACCTTTACCTTTACTTAAGAAGACCTGGTCTACTGAGCCCCAGGCAGACCTCTCTTTCCTCATGCATGCCTACTCTACTGACGTTCCCCTCCATTTCACCAAACAGCCTCCAGAAAATCTGCCCTCAAGGTCTTGTCCACTGCCATCTCTGAAACCTAGTTAGGGATGCTTTTGCAAGTGGCTTCGGAAGACACAAAAGTTTGGCACCCTGGGAGAAACCGGTAGTTGCGTCACCTGAGCCACAAACCTGACTGCACTGTTCATTCTTGAATCAACTAGTCCAGTACAGAAAATGCCTACAGTGCAAGAGATTGTCTACTTCAAAAATAATACAAAAATAAATTATTTGAGAACTTACGGTCTTTCTCTTCAAGGGGAATATCAACAGAAGGTTCTGTATCGGAGACTGCTCTTCTCCCTCTTTGTGATGACCGATGTGAAGAGGAATTTGGTTCTTTTATGGGCTGACTGCTCCTACAAATTCAGTAACATTGTGCGTTTTATGGTGCACACTTAAATTACACAGCTCCCTCCAGCTCATCCCATTCTAAATGGCATTTCTTTAATATACAGCCAGCACTTTCTTAAAAATAAGATGTGGGGAACAGATAAAGAAAGAAAGGAATAATGCCACGTGGAAGGAACTGGGAAGGATGAGGACCTAGGGGGACAATGATACTGAGGAAAGGGGCAACATGTGTCCATGCTTTTAGGACAGGGTGAACACTTACGTCCACAGGGCTACACTATATGACATCCCCTCTTACCTAGCAATTTCCCACAACATGCCTGACTGCTCTGTGGAATTAGACCGTGCAGCACACGGAATTGGAGCCAGATAAACACATTCAACTAGTGGATAGTTACTTGGCAGGAAGGGTGGATAAAAACACACATGGGGCTGTTACAGGAACGGCTGGGTGTGCTGCTATAATTTTGTTTTGTTGCATTTAGAAGACAGCTTATACCCTGCCTTTCCATTTTAAGCATCTCATATAATAAATAAAACAAGATAAAATAAAATGCAGATTAGAAATGAATAAAATACTCCAAAAAAAAAGTTAAATAATAACACATTTGAAACAAACAATTAAATTGTTCCTTGGATAATTGTACTGTAAACCAGCCAGAGAGTGCTCTAGCACTACAGAGCAGTGTATATGTCAAAATAACAACAACAATTAAAGAGACAGGAGCACAATTTACAGTAGTGGTTCTAAACTTTGGGTCCCCTGATGTTCTTGGACTACACCTCCCAGAAATCCTGGCCAGCACAGCTGCTGGTGAAGGCTTCTGGGAATTTTAGTCCAAGAACACCTGGGGACCCAAGGTTGGGAACCACTGATCCATAGTCACAAAGATACACCAGCAAAATCTCAGTATCTCCATCACAATGAACATGCCATTTGATTAAAGGACAGAGACAGAGAATCCACTCTGCAGATGAGCTCTGAACGTGTTTTCCTGGTGTCAGAACCTCCGTCTGCAGAACTGTCTGAGAGGGCAAGA